GAGAGAGAGAGAGAGAGGTGGGGGGCAGGAAGAGATGTTGTTTTAATTTTAAAAAAATGAATCATTTCTCGATTTTTGTGTGTCATACTTGTCCAGGGGCCATGCTAATCTTCTCTCTTACTGGATAGATCCAATTTTAACAGATACCCCGGAGGACTCATTTTAAATGTTGATGGCTTTAATTTTTATTTTTATTTTTATTTTTATCTATGCTATATTCTTCTCTCAAATCTTTCATCATCTTTCAAATTCTTTCAAATCACCTTGATAAAAGGGCCTTTTTACCCCAAACAGGCCTTGTAAAAGTAAAGCATCATGAAGGGGTATCTCGCCAGGACTCATAAACGTGAAAGCAGATCAAAGGTCAAGTTCTCTATCAAGGGACACATCCTAAACCAAAGCAAAGGTCACTGCAAAAGCACATACCTGTTCGCCAGAAGAGGCATATGTCATGTCTGTTCAGATAAGGGTATGTCTGTACGTGCAGTCAGTCTGTCTGTTTGTGCAAAAGGAAGTGTCTATTCGCACAATGTGAGTGTCTGTTCAGACAGTAAGTGTGTCTGTTCGTCTAAGTTGTGCCTGTCCGAAAGTAAAGCCAATAAGCAGAGTCCCAGTTCTGGTCCAAGTCTTAGGGACAGTCCAGATCTAGGCATCCAAATCCAAATCTAGGCCGAGAGGCCTCAGCAGCAGTCGAATTTCATTGCGACAGTACTGGGACACATGCAATGCAGGGTCTGGGACGAAGGAAGGCATGAAGCAGCCAAATGCAGACCCAGCGAGGAGAGGCCAGCACTACAAAGGCAGCAGTCAGCCTCATTCCTCGCCAGATCTCCACTGGCTTCAATGCGTGGAAGTGCTGTTGTGCTTGTGCGCTGGTCAATAGGAGCAGTGCTGGAGGAGAAGATGCACTAGACCAAGACTGTGCGCTGGAAGGAATGCAGCCATAGCTGCCCAGCGAGTTAGTAGTAGAGTAGCGGGTTAGTAATTAGCTATGAGTTGCATTCAGAGTAGATCCTTGTGAGTGAAGAGTGTGTATGCATCGTAGGAGGAAGGGACCGAGACAGAGAGAGAGTGTTCAATCAAGGTTTGTCTA